ACACCTGCAGAACTCGGGCAAAGGCAGCTTCCTGAGCCACCTGACCAGTGTATAATGGAGCATTCATTCACGCACGTATCCTAAGTGCCTCTTCTGCACCAAAACCAAGTCCCTGGCTTCATGCAGCTTGTGTGCTAACATTAGTGTTTGCAATGTCCCCGTCACTATTCCAACCCTGTCGAAGTATTAACTCACCATCACCTAGCACGGTGAATTGGGACCTCTGATTATCTCCATTTTGCAGGTGGAGAGGTTGAGACACACCAGTGAAGTAACCTGCCTGGTTAACACTGTTTTGTCTCCACTCTCCGTTCTGTCCACACAAACAAAAGGGAATTCTATAGCTGGACTCTACCTTTAACATTTTTCTCTTTGTAAAACAAAACCAGTACGTCGTGGTCTGCAGAAGGCAGACATGGACCACAATACTGGTTCCCCTACTCACAATTCAAAAATCACAATTCCAAGTATAAGATCATGAGTAAGAAGCATCATCGTTATAAAGATGGGTACATTTTGTTGTTGTTGTTTAATCACAAAGTCCTCTGGAGTCACACTACAGTGGCCTTTTTGCTCTGAAGCTAACTGCTCTACTCTGGGTGCGTTTTATTTCTCTCCAGTGTTCTAGTCAAGTCTGATGTCCTACTAAGTGGGAGATGAATCCACAGGCAGCATCGTACTACCCACACCATAGGCACTTCCACTCCAGCAAAGAAGCATCGGAAGTCCTGGGAGGGGGGGAAAGGAAGGGTTCTCTGGAGGGAGGCCTCACTGCACTTCAAGTGACAAGGAACAGGAAAGAAGCAGCCAAATGAAGCTGATCTTGATCAAAATTATGAAAGCCTTTGAAAATGGACTGAAAAGCAAGGAGTCAAATAGACAAATATGGAGGAAAAGTTTCTAAATTTAGAACCATTCCACAAAGTAAAAATAAACACACAGCCACCGTGTTGTTGTTATTGTTAAGTGCCACTGAGTCAGTACTAACTCAGTGAAAGTCTGGACAGGGTCTTCAAGCAGTGGCTGGTGAGTTTGAACTGCTGACCTTACAGTTAACAGTCCAGTGCTAATCCTACAGCACCACACCAGGACTCCTTATGAGCCATGACAACAAGCTACTGCAGCCCACATTTCCTTTACTAAAATGATAGTTCAGTACTTTGGCCTATAACTAAAGTATATTGTATTCCTAATTTTACATATATTTTTTTAGAGATACTGGCTGTTGTTGTTGTTATGTGCCGTTGAATCGGTTCCAACTCATAGCGACCCTGTATAGGGTTTCCAAGGAGCGGCTGGTGAGCTTGAACTGCCAACCTTGCAGGTCAAACTGACAATGTAGTCCAGCACATTAACCCACAGTGCCACAGCAGGACTCCAGATATACTGGTAGGAAATCTAATAAAGGAGTCCTGTTGTGGTGCAATGGGTTAATGCGCCAGACTGCAAAGCCGTGTGAACTGCAAGGTCAGTGGTTCAAGCTCACCAGCTGCTCCTTAGAAACCCTATACAGGGTCGCTACGGGTTGGAATCGACTCGATGGCACTTAACAACAACCTAATAAAAGAAGCAAAGGGTATTTTTTAATTGTAAGATCTTAATTTTTGTGTTAATAAGTTAAATGAGACTATGGTGTATATGAAAAAATTCAAGCCTTGACTGTCGTTATTGAAAGATTCTCTGGGAAAATTACTGAATGATGCAGAAAGCATCAAAAGAAGATGGAAGGAATACACACAGTCACTGTACCAAAAGGAAATGGTACATGTTCAACCGTTTCAATAGGTAGCATATGATCAACAGCCAATGACTGGCAAAGAACAAGGCACCAGGAATTGATGGAATCAAAATTGAAATCTTTCAAGAAAGTGAGGCAGCACAGGAGATACTCACTCATCTCTGCCAAGAAATTTGGAAGACAACTATCTGGCTGACTGATTAGAAGAGATCCATATTTGTGCCCATTCCAAAGAAAGGTGACCCAATGGAAAGCGGAAATCATCAGACAATCTCCTTGATATCCCATGTGAGTAAAGTTTTACTAAAGGTAATACAGAAATGGATGCAAGCATATATTGACAGAGAGCTTCCTGAGGTTCAAGCCAGATTCAGAAGAGGCTGTGGAACGAGGGATATCATTGCTGATGTCCGATGGCTCTTGGCTGAAAGCAGAGAATATCAGAAAGATGTTTACCTGTGCTTCATTGACTATGCAAAGGCTTTCGATTGTGTGCATCATGACAAGCTATGGACAACATTGCAAAGTATGAGTATTCCGGAACCCTTTATTGTGCTTATGAGGAGTCTGTACATGGACCAAGAGGCAGTTGTTCAAACAGAACATGGGAACACTGAATGGTTTAAAACTAAGAAAGGTGTGCGACAGGGTTGTATTCTTTCACCATACTTATTCAACCTGTATGCTGAGCAAATAATCCAAGAAGCTGGGTTCTATGAAGAAAAATGTGGCATCAGGATTGGAGGAAGACTCATTAACAACCTGCGATATGCAGATGATATAACCTTGCTTGCTGAAAGTGAAGAGGACTTAAAACATTTACTGATGAAGATCAAAGAGCACAGCCTTCGATATGGATTACATCTCAATGTCAAGAAAACAAAAATCCTCACCACTGGACCAGTAAACAACAACATTCTTATCAACGGAGAAAAGATTGAAGTTGTCAAGGACTTCATTCTTCTTGGATCAACTATCAACACTCATGGAAGCAGCAGTCAAGAAATCAAACGACGTATCACATTAGGTAAATCTGCTGCACAAGACCTTTTTAAATGTTGAAGAGCAAAAAGATCAGCTTGAGGACTAAGGTATGCCTGACCCACGCCATGGTATTTTCAATAACCTCACAGGCAAGTGAAAGCTGGACAGTGAATAAGGAAGACTGTGGAAGAACTGATGCTTTTGAGTTATGGTGTTGGAGGAGAACATTGAAGTGCCATGGGCTGCCAAAAGAACCAATAGATCCATTTTGGAATAAGTGAAGCCAGAATGCTCCTTGGAGGCCAGGATGGCCAAACTCCATCTCTCATACTTCATACATATTGTCAGGAGGGGCCAGTCTCTGGAGAAGGATATCATGTTTGGTAAGGTGGAGGGTCAGAGAAAAAGAGGAAGACCCCCAACGAGATGGACTGACAAAGTGGCAGCATCGATGAACTCAAGCGTGGCAACAGTAGTGAGGTTGGCCCAGGATTGGGCAGTGTTTCATTCTCCTGTGCATAAGGTCGCTATGAGTCAGTACCAACTGGATGGCACCTAACAACAAAAACAACAACAACAACATGGTGTATATGGAGTCCTGGTGTGGCACTGTCAGATAATGCACTGGACTGCAAGGATGGTTTGAACGGCAAGATCTGTGGTTCAAACTCGATAGGCCGCTTCTTGGAAACCCTATACAAGGTCACTATTTGTCAGAACTGACTAGATGGCACTTAACAACAACAATATAGCATATGTAAAAAATATTAACATAGCCCTGCTGGGACTGACATTAATTCTGTACAAGACAAAACTTTGACATAATCATAAACTGAGAAATGAAAACTAAACTTTATTTTAAATCTCAAAATATGAAACGAAATGAGTTTTAAGGAATGTTTCCCTTTTAAATACACTGAAAAAGTACAGGCACATTGATAGTATCTTTTGGAATATCAGGCTCCCTATGGAGTCCTGGAAGGAGCTCTGGTAGCGTAGTGGTTACGAATCGGGCTGCTAACCTCAGGGTCAGCAGTTAGAAACTATCAGCTGTTCCGTGGGAGAAAGATGAGACGTTCTGCTCCCGTAAAGATTTACAGCCTCAGAAACCCTGCACAGGGTCACTATGAGTCAGAACCGACTCCACGGCACATCACAACAACAACAATGGAGTCCTGGTGTGGTGCTGTGGGCTAATGCGTCAGACTGCAAAGCTGTCTGAACTGCAAGGTTGATGGTTCAAGCTCTCACTATGGGACGGAATCAACTCGACAGCACTTAACAACAACAACAAATGTGGCACTGTAGGATGAAACACTGGACTGTAAAGTCGGTTTGAAGTGCAAAGCCAGACTTCAAACCAGCTGCTTCTCAGAAGCCCTATACAGAATTACTGAGTCAGAACTGACTCGATGGCACCTAAAAACATAACTTGTATAATATTAATGTATAATTCTAATAAAGATATGGGCATCAAGAGGAGAAGAAAGCATACGCTTTTTTACCCAATTAAGTAGTTTGTTTTACCCAATTAAAAAATAATTCAACCCTAAGGAAAAAAAATTATCACAATGCTAAAACAGTGGCAGAGAATACAAAGGTAACTGTGGTATCTGAAAATAAAAATGCTCCTCAAAAGAAATTCCTTTACTAAATCTGCTTAGAAGTTATTTGGAGCTTTACGATTTGGGGTTTTGAGCTTTATCAATGCAGTATACCAGTGTGAACACATAACAATATTCATTTAAACTAAGCATGAAAGGGTAAAATATCCTCCAATACCAAGGACAGTTAGGCTCCGTCTTGTTGAAATTAAATTATCACACATAACTATTGTTGGGCATACGTCGGATTCATATTTTTAAGTTCTAGGTATTTCTTCTGATAATTTTATCAATGGTGATTTATTTTAAAGCAACAAGAACAACAAATTGAGACTAGCTTGTGGAGATAACTGTCTAGACTCTTCCTGTTCTCTGCTGATAAAAAATTATGTTTGTTTAATACTGACTTAGGTAAAAAAAACCTTGGTTTTTCCCTTGTGAAAATACTTTTCTGGGTTATTTAATTGGCTACTTCTAGGTTTTAAATTGGGGGGCAGGGGAACCACAATTATTTGTGAAGCATACTGTTACATAATAGAAGAAAAAGGAAGACACATGTATTTGCATCTCCTTTAAGTTGTTATTCACAAGATTTTGAGGTTTGTATCTCTCCAGTTAGTGTATTTTATTTTTCTGCCCATCTCAGTAGCAAACAATGTGATTTAGACTCTAACCTGGCACGCTACCACCTCTGGCCCGCCCTTGAGCCCCTCCATTGCAAAGGTCTCCAGGTGCAGTTTGGGAAGCTGTAGGGCGAAGTCATTCCTACTTGCCGCAGTCCGTGACAGTGAGATTTGATCTCTGACCTAAAGGGAAAAAAACAGCATCAATGGTAATTCCCCTTCAGACACATTAACTGGGATGAACTGGGTCCCCTTGAGCCCACTGAGTGGACTTGCATTGATCGCTGGACCTGAAATCCATGAATAAATTTAGGACTAATTGATTTTTCGTTGCAAATAAATCTCTAATTCAGAGTGCTGGGGGAGAATGTTAAGAAGAAAAAGCATCCTCCTGCTTGCCAGGAGGGAGGAGAAGAAGAGTCACGCACGCACTTCTGATCAAGAGGTTTCTAAGTCTTTTTTTTTTTTTTTCAGAGTTCCATCCTCAAAATCAAAAGGAAAGGAGGAACAATTATTTACTAAATTGATAACAAACCACAGTCCCCAAGTTATTATAAATAATTTTCTTGATAATACTGAATTTAACTGGTATTAACTGGTAGATATTTGATGAAGTATTAGTCTTTGAAAAGAAAACTTCAGTGATATGGGACCCGGAATAAAAAACAAATATACTCAACACAAAAGGGCACTTTTGAAATATAAGAGGTTTGTTTGCCTTTTTGCCTCTTCTTAAAAATGCTAAAAAAATTTTAACTCAAGTCTGTCTTCATGATTAAAATACATATAAACCAACTAGTCACACAACTTCTAAATAAGACAACACTGAGATGAAATCAGTAGTATTTATGCTATATTTAAGTATTCTGAAAGGTAACAATACAAACACAGCACAGAAGCAAGAGAAAATACAGATTTGCAAGTCTGTTACAGAATCACCTGCAGTTGGTATTACACTGCCACCTTCTGGAAAGATGAGGAAACACTTCCTGTAGAGTATAACTTCAGCGAAGAAAGGCTCAGAGGCATGTGTTTCGGTTTTCAACTTCCAAACTTAGTAAAAGCCTTAAAATTCCAATTACATTTGCATTTCAGATCAGTAAGCTGTAATTTTTCATTATATGATTTAATGATAGGATTATCATATATAGGCATATGCCCTACTTTCCTTATGCTTGAATAGATTTTAATAATTTAGCTTTGATAGTACATATTTACTTAATAAATATTATGCAACTATCTCAAAGACACAGGATACAAAGAGTTTTTTGAGTTAGAAAGGTGAAAACTAGGAGAATAATAGCAATAATATCAACTGCATAAATAAATGTGTTTATATCTATGAGCAATTTCAAATATAAATTGGCAATAATATATCATAGAAAACTCAGCCTTCATTTTTCTTTTACTTGGACAAGCCTTTAAGGCTGTTAGAATTACTTCTCATATATGAATAAACTCTATATGAAATGTACATGTCCTAGAATTGCTTCTGGTATGTGAATGAACCGCATATGAACTGTACACATCCTAGAATTGCTTCTTGGTAATATGAACAAATTGTATAGAAATATACACATTCCACAAACCTACAATGCTCCTTTAACCAGCAAACACACACACACACACACACACACATGATGTCTTTAATTGTTCATGCTAATCTATGAGCATAAAAATTATTATATTTCCCAAGGTAATCATAAGAATTTCTGTCAATACGGATGGCTGCAAAAGCATACACTGTAATGCAATTTTTATAATAGTGTGAGTACTACACGCACAGTGCAGTCACAATTCATAATATATGTTTATCCATAACAAACATTCACCAGAGTCTTCAATCAGGATGGGAATGCTATTAAACTTACTTAACATAACAAGATAAAACATATTTTACAAGTATATTTGTTTTAGGTTTTATATTTTATATGTTTGATGCCTTCTCTTACCTTTTTTTTTTTTTTTTTTTTGTCACTGGTGTGCACACAGATAAAAGAAAACATTAATGTGGATTAAGGTACTGAGAATTTATCAACATCAAACCACTAGTGTTTTGCCTTCTACCCTTCTGAACCAAAGTCAATAGATCTAAATATTTTACTGCACCCTGGCCAATTCATTGTTTGATGTTTAAAAACTCACCCAGAATCAAAGAAAATTTATTAAATTTGAGCCCCCAAATGAGATACTATTAGCTTTGAAAGTCAAGTTTAACTGCGATATTGATGATTCTCTTTTTTCTGTGACAAAATTCACTAGGGAAATCCTGGATGTCAAAGTACAAAAGCAGATTGCTAATACAGGCGGGGGGCGGGAGGTGAGGGGGGAGGACACACTATAAGCAATGTAGGTATAATCCACAACCCAGCTCAAAGACTGGAGGTCCTTAAACCTGAGTAAAGCCAGGCACCGTACTTCATCTGTGAGCCTGGATATACAGTGAACAACATTTTATATGCTGGAAATAAACTCTATAAACAATATCAAGCTGAGGCATTTCACAATGAAAACTTGGATTTATTATCAAATTAACATTTTCACTATAACATTATTAAACTTATGTTATGAAATCATTTTTTTAGATAAAGACCAAAAACAATTGAAAATGCAGCTGTTTTTGCTGTCCCTTAACAATGAACATCATAACTGCAGCATTATTTGCAAACTATGCATATGTGTTAATACTTTCATTTTGTTACAAATTATCTGTTGACAGTGTCAACATGAGACTGCCCCAGGATAGGTTCAAGAAGCACTACTGCAAATGTCTACACTTTTAAATTAAACTAAAGCCTTGAAAGTAGGTGCTAAATGTACTCAAACTATTCAGAGGGAAAGTTTGGTTGTTTTTTGGGGGGTGAGGGAAGGACTTAAATCTTAAAAATGGATTGGGTAAGAATTCTTTTCTTCTAAGGCAATAAAGAAACAAAAGCATTATATTGAAAGAAAGTAAAACAGAGAAGCAAAGGTATCATGGTGCAGCAAAGGAACAGATAGGAAAGATGGCAAAGAGCAAAAAAGAAAAAAAGAGGTGAAAAGAGGGAGGAAGCCAGTTAGAAAGAATGCAGAAGGCAAGAATGGATTTAGGGTGTAAACCAGAACCAACGGGGCAATTCAACATGGAAGTGCAGTAAGAAAGAAAACTGGGCCCTGAATGCATGGAATTTGTTCATAAGAAAAGCCAAACAAACAGGGTGAGACGAAAGTCACTAAAATCAGGAGTGAGAATGCAGGACTGCTTTAGGAAATACTACCCGTGGAATACAAAATGGTTCTTTTGAAGAATAAGGACCAAGAGCAAATATCTTTGCTGTCAAAAGACTTGTGAATTCACAATATTAGAGCAGTATAATTTTTCTTCTTCCTCAAATACGAAATAGACTCACCTTTAAAATACATAAAATACATAAACTGTGATTTATGATTAAAACAATCATCAGTAATATGTTTATTGATAAATTATCATTTAGATTTTCAAATTAATTTCAAAAGTTAACCTTTAATTCTATTTACAGCACTCATTATTCATCAGCAAATTAATATTCTATTGCTTTACATTCTGATTCATTTATAGATATAAGCAATAAAAATACATATTTTTCTAAAGGGGTTAACAGTTCATTTTTAACATATAATTTATTTTTCACAAAACTTCTAAATTGTATACATTTTTACATTGTTGTTGTTGTTGTTAAGTGCTGTCAAGCCAGTTCCAACTCACAGCAACCCTGTGTAGGGTTTCTATAAGGCTGTAAATCTTTACAGAAGCAGAAAGCTTCATCTTTTTTCCATGAAGCAGCTGGTGGGTTCGAACAGCCAACTTTGTAGCTCACAATCCAGACTTATCTGACAGAGCCCTAGCACTCCTGATACATTTTTAGAGCATTTAATAAAACTGTACTATTTCATAATGTTTTTAAAAAGAATAAAGAAAAAAAATCTACATTATTACCTTCCAAAATTTTCTTTGAGAAATACCACTTTATATTCTCCCTTTCTTATTATATGTTTTCAGAAAGTAAACCTTTCTAATAAATATGTCTGACTCCTAGCAGCTGTAGAAGGAAACACTGCCGACCCTGCTCCGTCTTCACAATCACCGTGCTTGAGTCCACTGCTGCTGCCACTGTCCCATGCCATCTCTTCCTCATGTTCACTGACCCTCCAAATTGACGTCCTTTTCCAGGGGTTAGACCCTTTTGATAATATGTCCGAAGTATAAGAGACCAAGTCTAGCCATCCTGGCTTCTAAGGAGCATTCTGGTTGTACTTCTTCCAACCACAGATTTGTTTGTTCTTCTGGCAGTCCATGGTACTTTTAATAATCTCCTCCAACATCATAATTTAACCGCATCAATTCTTCTATGGTCTTCCTTATACACTGTCCAACTTTCATGTGCATATGAGGCTATTGAAAATACCATGGCTTGAACCAGGTGCCCCTTAGTCCTCAAAGTGACATCTTTGCTCTTGAACATTTTAAAGAGGTCATGTGCAGCAAATTTGCCTAATGCAATACGTCATTTGATTACTTGACTGCTGCTTCCATGAGTGTTGAGTGGATCCAAGCAAAAGGAAGTCTTTAATGACGTCAATCTTTTCTTCATTTATCAAGACATTATTTGTGATCCAGTGGTGATGATTTTTGCTTTCTTTACATTGAGGTGTAACACATACTGAAGGCTGTAGTCCTGAATCTTCACCAGTAAGTATTTTAAGTCCTTTTCATTTTCAGCAAGCAAGGGTGTATCATTTGCATATCACAGGTTCTTAATGCTTCTTCCGTTAATCCTGATGCCATGTTCTTCTTCATATAATCCAGCTTCTCATATTCTGTCCTCAGCATACAGACTGAATAAGTAAGGTGAAAGAATACAACACTTGCACACATAGTTCATGGTTTTAAACCATTTGGTTCCCCCTTGTTCTGTGTGAGCAACTGTCTCTTGGTCTTTGTACAGCCTCATGAGCACAATTAAGTGTTGTGAAATGCCCATTCTTCACGATGTTCCATAGCTTGTCATGATCCACACAGTTGAAAACCTTTCCATAGTCAATAAAGCCCAGGTAAGCATCTTTCTTGTATTCTCTGCTCTCAGCCAACTCCTATCTGAAGTCAGCAGTGATATCCCTTGTTCCACATTCTCATCTGAATCTAGTTGAAACCTCTGGCATTTCCT